GCAACAAGAACATCCTAAGAGTAGAATGCAAATATCAAGGCAATTAGAGAGTTTTTAAAAAATAGGGTCCCTGGCTGCAACTAGCGCTATTGGATGGAAAGGTGGGATAAAAGTTTAACACCAAGAAAAAGGAAAAAGAAATAATTGGTGGTGTTTTCCCTTCCTGACTATGGAGAGTTTGTTTTGTTCAATACTAAAGGCTAGGTCTGGTTGTTAGTCCCAACTAGGGTAGATGAGTCTAATAAATGAGACTTACATAAGTGCTGACTTAGCAAATCCCATTCATACAGTGGATCAGCTCTTGTTAGGACTAGCAATTGGGTTCAGGTCATGTCTCCCTTAGATTTGGGGGAAGTAGGTCCTCTATATTCCAAGTAAACCTCTAATGACAACAAATTACAAAATATATTTTGGTACCTTATCCTACCTCCCACAAGCATGTCTTTGGCTCTTGATCCTTCCTCACCTGAACTTCAATAGGGAATTGGCCTTCCATGTTTAAAGGAAAGATCCAAAACACAAAATATGCTTCTTTCATTTAATTTGTGTTTCCACAACTACTGAGAGATTGACAAAAGAGCTTCTAAAACACAAATGGTTTGTGTTTGTAAAAGAGGGTGATGTTAAAGATTTGTGTTTCTTTTGTGTTCCCTCTTTCATGTAACCTTTTGGTGCCCTTTGTAAGGCAAAGTGCATGTCAATTTTTTATTCAGTACTATCATAAAGGGCTGTCGGCAGCAGCCAACCTGTGCCTCCATCTTGCATCCTCCTCCCTTGTTTGCCTCCCTCCATCCACCCTGATTTTTGGGGAATGTTTTTCACTTGCCTGGATTGTTTTTTTCTTGTTGTCAGGCAGTCTGCCCTATGTCAGCATGCTTCCTTGGAATTTTCTTGAACTCCCACCCCTGCTTTTTTCAGGGATTTCCCTCCTCTTTGTTTATTGGGCAAAGGGTTCTTCCCTTCCTTTGATTATTTTTACTGTTCCCTAGCCTGCCCTGCTTGCTGGACTCAGAGAAAATAAGACACCAGGTGGGAGAGTCATCTTGCCATATTCTAGTATTTCTAGTAGCAGGGCTTCAGTTTTATTTTCTTGGTTGCCTCCTTTTCTTAGTTTTGGGGAGGGAGTTGTGTTTTTTTTTAATTTTGCTATTTCTCCTTGTGTGAAGGAGTGCCTTCCTTGTCCATCTGAATTTTTAGAATACAGTAGTTATTTCATTATTTGACTGTATTTTAAAGGTATATATTTTGGTGAGGATTGGGAGAACTTGTTTGCTTCTATGGGTATGAGTGGGCCATGGGAGGTAGACTTTGTGACTGTGCCAGTGTGACACTGAACTGTTTGGGTGGTTGTTGCTCTTGGGCTGGCACAGGTTGGGGCATTTCTCTGTTGCTCTTGTTGGTATTGTGCTCCTATTGTTTCCTTTGGTGAGTGTCTCTATATGCCGGGCAGCCAGTGTCTGGCTTGCTGGCTTCTTCCTTGTATTTGTTGTTGTTGGGCTGCCCATGCTTGGAGGGTCTGTTATGCTGGATAGGTGGCAATTAACTCCTATTGAACTCATGTTGTTTTGAATGTGATAATATGAATTAGTGCCTGCATAGGTTTAACAAGGATTTTTCTTCCTCTCATACTGTTGCTGGCTTTTAGAGTAGACTGATTCTCTGTTACCTTGCCTCTTGTTTTTAAGAGTAGTTTTAAAGGATTCTTTAGGGCATTTAGAGTGCTAGAAAACGTTAATGAGGAAACACACACAAGAGACGTTTCTGTTTTGTGTAAAATGAAAGAATTGGCATGTGAAAAATATAAAAACAGAAGAAAACAAAAAAGGCAGCCCCCCAAAAAAATCAAAATAAAAAATTTGCAAATATTCACTGTACATATCCCTAATCTGTGCTCAGTTTACCATTGTGATGGAGTTGAAGCAGTGTGGAATATGTTATCCCTAATACAGTATGTGCTCAGTTTACAAGTGTGATGGAGTTGAAGCTGTGTGGGATATGTAGTCAGAGAAATGTAAGATAGAGTCAGACGGGTTCTGTGTGAAGATGATTTGAGAGACATTGGAATGTCTTTTTCTAAGTGCTATGAGAGTGTTTTTCTGAAGACCAGTACATTGTGGTTCGAGATAAAGCTGAAGGTCGGACAAAGAAGCCAGTGGAAGACTCAACATTCTGAGCAAATTGGAGAAGAGATAAAACACCTGGATCTTCATGGGAATCGAGGGAGGAGGAAGATGTTACAGCCCCTTGAGGCTAATTGGTTAACAGCCATGAAGTGTCGAGAAGAAGGGAGGAGTTAGAGAATGTAGAAAATGGACGATGGGTTATGTAAGAGAAGTTCAATTCCATGATGATGGGAGAGAGAAAGAACTTGATGGTTTGAGCATGTGGCTTGAAGGAGAAAGAATGTACAAGTAAAGAAGGAGGTGGGGCTAGCCCACCTTAGCCCAGCTTAGTAGTGTTTTTTTATTTTACTGGGGATTAGTTATTTTATTTAACTGTAATAATATTTGAATATGTTCTTTATGCTAAAGCTTGAGCAATATAAACTGATTCTATGAAACTCTATCTTTCTAAAAAAATTTAAATTCTTACAAAGGACTGGTCTCTTGAACAGCAGAGTCTAGCTAAATCCAGGGAGTGGAGAGGGCCACAAACTAGCTATCTTTAAGAGTCCTATCTAACTGAGCTGTTATGAATTCTAAGGAATCACAAAGCCTATGTGTCTGTACTGGGTAAAAATAAAGTGTTCTTTTAAGGTCAGACTTGCTCAATGGGCTTACGCTACGCACTGCTGACGTCTTACGACTTGCCTCAGCACAAAGGTAGTAGGTAAACGGCCTGTCAAACTCTCTGACCGAGTGCCAAGCTACTTAGGGAGGCCTGAGCACCACAACCAGCATCTCATTAATTTTCAACATGGCCTATCCATGCCAGCATCTGACCTATTCCAGCTACATCCTCTGCGAAATCTGTTTCCAGGCCTGACAATTACCTTATCTAAATTGTCTTCTCCAGTCATATTCCACTGAAGCTTTTTTTCTCACATGTCATCATTTTTTTGGTATCATCTCAACACTGGAGTATTTAGCAATGATTCTTAACAACTGCAGAGAAATAAAGTTCGGACATCATATAACAAGCTGTGATTCTATTACAGCCCTCTATAAAAGCATGTTTCCAAATCATCTAATTTTTCAAGTCATGTTAAGAAGGTTTTCATTTTGGTTTTGGTTTTAGTGAGGATGATTGTTTGCCTCATGGGAACAGTGTTTATTCGAGTCCAATGGCAAAGCCAAAAATTAATAAACTAGCCTGGAATGACTTCCTAGAAGCAATATCATTAATGATCATTCAGTACAGCACATTAATTAGGTTTCATTAAGTAGAGCAAAGCAATTGCAGATTTTAATAGGCTGCACAGTTATGCTGCAATGTGATGAATAAACCTGCATTCTTGAATGTGTTCTTTTATATCTGAATGCCCTTTCTTCTCACAACCATTGAAGTAAAAATATTTATTAATTACCATGCATTTTAAACAGAGCCTGTTAAAAGACTTTGATACAATAGTCTTTGACAAAACAGTCATTATCATTTGTACAGTATTGTGTTACATTTCCTCCAACACCTGAATATTTATCATCCACATTAATATGAATGGGGGAAAGCAGCAGATGGGTTGTGGGTAATCTATGAAAAACATTCTGTTCTGAAGCAAATCTGCAGTAAGAGTACACGGAACTTAAATGAAAACACTACAGCATTGTAAATTGATTCTGAAAGTACATTTGCTATTAATATTTGTTGCATGTCTAAGCACTAGAGTTTATCTGCAGCAGTACCTGTATGTATTAATTTCCTAAGCACTGGTTATATCAGTAGATGGAGGAGAACTTATGAATGTTCCATTACACTGATACTATGGAAACATTGCTAGCAAATGTCCAGCCTGGCACAAATATTTCGGCTTTGCTTGTCGATTAAAACAAATTTAGAACAGCAACTGTAAATACTGGGCCAGTGTACATATATGATTATAACAGTGCACAATACAATAACAAAACTTGAACTGTACTGAGAAAAAGTTTATATGTGAGTGACACATATGAAGCAAAAATAAAAAGGTAACAGAAATAGAATCAAACCTGTAAATGCAATTTGTCAGTGACTAGCACACAGGACAAAGAAATCAGAAGAATAAGACTTGGAATGACAGCTATGAAGGAAGTAAAAAAGATCTTTAGTTATATGCATTTGTCCCTGGAGAACAAGGGCATGTAAGAAGAAGACCAAGTATGACATGCATTGACTCTATGAAGGAAACCGGGGTCTTAATGACAGGCCTTTTGAAGGAGACTAATTTATAGGATTGCTGTATGTTGGAGGTGACTTAATGGCACATAACAAGTGGATA